ACAAGAAAGTAGAAGAGAAGAAAGAAGACAAAAAAAAAAACGACAACAGCCTGTCCATCCAACACCCCAAACTGATGACAGTTATCCAGTGCATGGGATAAATCTTCAGGATTCTGATAATCTCAAGATTTACAGCTGAACCTTAAATTCGACAACACCATCAGTGGTATGGCATTAACTACAACCATTAATCACCAACCTAAAAAATAGTTTTTGACGTGTTTAAAGTAACAAAATCTTTTGGAACTAAAAGTATCAAAGAAGAGCAGCCTTCAATAATAAAACTGCAACAGCCAAAAAACAATTTTTTTCTTGACTTCTTTTCTTTTCTTTCCCTTCACATAAATACATCTGATCTCTAAGCTGTACAGATTTTGCACATTACAGTATCCGTTCTGTCAAGCAGATATTCTCTAAAAAAAAAAAAAGTTGTACCAAAACCCCACACATATCGATTATTATTCCAAAGAAAAACAAAATATTGCTTTACGGAAAAACAAAAGTATTCAGGCAAAAGGACAGATGAGAAAATAAAAAGAAGGAAGTAAAGAAGATAAAATGCATACAAAACACTGTTTGAAAAAAACCTTTTCAAACAATTAAATGACTAAACAAAATTAAATAAAGCAAAAAAAAAATTTTATTTTTCATCCTATAAGAATCAGTCACAAAATTAGCAAAGAAAAAAAAAATGAATTTTAGACGAAAAACAAACTCCGACCAGAAGTCTGTTACAATGTTGCAGATAAACTGGAAAAAAAACCTAGCAAAATTCTTTTTGTTTTCCATTCAATCAAAAAATTGTCTACTATTCTCAGAATACACTATAAGTAGCAAATTGTAAACAAGAAGAATAATCAGAAGTGTTATACCAAACCATACAAAGAGAGAAAAAAAAAAAGAAACCCAATTAATTAGCATTCCAAGCAAAGTCAAAAAAAAAAAAATCACCTTAACAAAACATACAGTTCTAACATAGATTCTTTTTGCCAAAAAAAGTACGTTGTGCTTTCGGAGCTTTAGCAGTCAACCGATGTGCACCATAAAATATTGACGTTGCCCAATACAGAAACCATTAAATAGGATTAGACCGAACTAAACTAAACAAAAACCATAATCATCTCTCCTAACAATCATTCCTCTACAATTTTCCCTTCTCTAGTTTTTGTTCTACTCTTTCAAACAAAAAAAAAAACTGATGCAAAAATAAACGGTAGTACAGAAATCAATAGAAAAGACATAAAAAGATCAAACATTTGTACAGATAGTTAGGTGTTTTAAATAACAGAAGAAACATGCTTTCAAACCTACCAAAATATGATTGTAAGTCAAAACTATATGTTATATTTGAAACCTGGAAAAGGAAATGGCAGCGTATAGCAACAGAGAGCAAAAAAAACAAAGAAATGAAAGTAAGAGTAAAGATAAAAATAGAAACCAAAAAATTAATTAGAGGATAAATGATACGTCTGAAATGCCATAACTTTTGCAAAATTAAAAAAAAAAAAAAAAAACCATTTTCTAAAAGCAATCTTTTGTACCGTACACAAAAAGCTTTCGTTTCTCTGTACTGCAAAATTTGATCTTACCAAATTCAAAATTATTACTTCACATGTTTATAATTCCAGAAAAAAAAAAAAAAAGGAAATTTTTGTAACTGTTTCAATAACTGAAGAAAACAACAAATCCGTTAATTTTGATAGGACAGTAAAGCCAAAAAAGAAAAAAGAACAAATTTCTTTAAATCATTCTGAACAAATTGGATGGAACAATAAATGTAAGCTTCAACAAAACCAAAAAAAAAAGAAACCAGTAGATCTGAAATTTTAAAAGCAGAACTGCGACAACTACACAGTGATAAGAAAACACATTTGACATCAGCAAAATGTAGTTGACAATAGGCATTTGTATAACCAAACTGAACCAAAAATATTTCTACCATTCAGTCAATAAATGTTCTAATTTTATGCTAATTTTAAATCTTAAATTTATTTATTCTTTTTTTTTTT